GGAGGGCCTTCTCTAAGAGGTCAACAGTGAGAGTGGTGGGACAGACTGAGAGGAAGTGGTCCCTGACTACACGAAGGGAGTCAGGGAGGCGGGTGACTATATAATAGAGAGTGATATACATGGGGGGGGGGGTGCTTGGCGCAGAACTCAGTAGGAAGCGCGGCGCGGTAGCGAGTGTCACTAGTGCGGAGGTGCGTAATGAGGTCCGGGACTGTGGGAAAGGCAGCAAGGTCAAAGAAGAGGTACGGTAGCATGAGGCGGCTCAGTGCAGTAGTGGCAGGGGAAGAGTAGCGCGCAACTACAGCGTCGTACAAGGTCTGAGCACTCTTGTACTGACTAAAGTGCGCGCGCTCAGTGGTAGGCAGGTGGCGACGCACAGCAAGACGTGCAGCAGCGTCGCGCGTGGCCCACTGGGAGCGAACAGTGGGGTCAGCATCAGCAGCAGGGGTAGGAGAGGCGCCAGAGGTGAGGTCAAAGAGAGAGAGACCGTCTGCCCTATCGCACTGTAAGAACAACTGCAGGTCGTCGACCCAGACCTCAAAGTCAATGGCTCAACCCTCAGCGTCAAATGCAAGGACACTAGGGGTAGCCATGACAACAGTAGACTAGCAGTACCAACTGTAAGACAGGGGCAGTGTAGTGACTGAAGCGCTGCTCTCACCAGACAGGGCGGTTCGGGCAGCTCAGTAGCACAGCAACACGGCAACACAGCTGTTCGGACGGCTCAGTAGCAACTGCGGCTCCGCGGCACCAGCGGCTCGGCTCCTCAGGCGGCTCGGGCGGCTCGGGCGGGTTGGGCGGCTCGGGCGGTTCGGCTCCTCAGCGGCTCAGGCGGCTCGGGCGGCTCGGGCAGGTCGGGCGGCTCGGGCTGCTTGGGCGGCTCGGCTCCTCAGCGGCTCAGGCGGCTCGGGCGGCTCGGGCGGCTCGGGCGGCTCGGGCGGCTCGGGCGGCGCGGGCGGTGTAGGGCGGTAGGGCCGCTGGTAGGGCGGCGGGGCCGCAAGGTAGGTGGCGGGGCCGTAGTGGGAGGGGCGGCGGGGCCGGAGTGAAGGGCGGCGGGGCCGCCGTGAAGGGCGGCGGGGCCGCTGAGAAGGGCGGCGGGGCCGCAATGAGAGAGGCGGCGGGGCCGAAGAGAAGGGCGGCGGGGTCGCTGAGAAGGGCGGCGGGGCCGAAGCGAGAGAGGCGGCGGGGCCACAGCGAAGGGCGGCGGGGCCGCTGAGACGGGCGGCGGGGCTGCAACGAAGGGCGGCGGGGCCTTAGTGTGAGGCGGCGGGGCCGCAGGGAAGGGCGGCGGGGCTGCAATGTGAGGCGGCAGGGCCTCAGCGAAGGGCGGCGTGGCCGCAGCGAAGGGCGGCGGGGCCGCTGAGACGGGCGGCGGGGCCGCAGCGAAGGGCGGCGGGGCCGCTGAGAAGGGCGGCGGAGCCGCAGCGAGAGAGGTGGCGGGGCCGCAGCAAAGGGCGGCGGAGCCGCTGAGACGGGCGGCGGGGCCGCTGTGAAGGGCGGCGGGGCCGCAGTGAAGGGTGGCGGAGCCGCAGTGAAGTGCTGCGGGGCCGCAGCGAAGGGCGGCGGAGCCGCAGCGAAGGGGGGCGGGGCCGCAGCGAAGGGCGGTGGGGCCGAATCGACGGGCTGCGGGGCCGCTAGGGCGGCTCGACGAAGTGAGAGCCCGGAGCGCGACTCGGGCTGAGCGCGCTTCGGGCAGGAAAAAAAAACTCGATGTGGTGGGCCCTAGTCACAGTTCCCACGGGGGAACTTGCTCGATACCATGAGGAAATTATAACGAGAATGAGGAATGACTATGGAATGAAAGTGATACAAATATGCAACCCTAGAAATGTGTACCCCATATGGGATACCCCACTAAAGCCTAGACAACATTATAATTTGACAGTGTGTCGTAGTAGTGACATAGATTGGATGTATCAAATCAGTTCAGCACGTGAATATGTATTGTTTCATTGCTATGAATCTTTGCGTTTTGTCGTACAATTATGCATCTTATTCCCATTGTTCCATATTTGTCTTGCTTGTTTCTTTCTGTTGCTGATGCTTTCCTAACAGGCCTTGTTGTTTTCTTCAGGAACTGAAGGTTAATCTGGATGGTGCAAAGATACAGATTGTTCTGTGTAGGGTTATATGTATATTGCTAATGTATAATTTTGCTCCTAGGTTTTTTTTCTAAACAGTTGATGCATTGAGCGTTTTTAGTTTGTGTGAATGTGTGGGAATATGTGTATGTGTTTGTATGTGTCTATGTGCGTGTGTGTATTCGTTATGTTGTGTGCGCATGTGCTTTCATTCATGCTTCCATTGCATTAATAACACATGTCTGTGTGTTTTAAAAAAATGGATCAAACTATCATTTCCGAGAAGGTTCTTTGCGCACTCAGTGAGTGTGTCCATTCGAATTGGATTTGATAGAGTTGACCTTTTTTTAGATTGCACAGATTGTGTTGTTTCATGTAACAGCTGGTTGATTCAGGAACTATGCTATTGAGCTCCCCCCCATGCTAGACAGGGGATGCGGTAGCATAGGGTCTGGATCAATTAACTGTGACGCATTTTCATCATGCTATGCATTCATTTCATTACCACAGTCGTATATGCAGCATAATTATGCATTCTTCATTCAATATTTAGTTCATCATATCATCATTATGCTTCATCTACGCATAACATCATCCGGCATATGCATTACGGAATTAACCGTCACATGTGTCATAGTACACATAATTTCGGCAAAGGCGAACCAAGAAATGAGAAGGAATTTGGTACGGCACGTGCTAAATACGACTGTCAAGTCACTTAGTTACCGACACTACGGTAGATTTTTTTCATCCTTATTTTTTCAATGCACAGAGGATGAAAAAAAAATTGTACATAACGATCGTAATAGGTTGCTTCGCAACCCAAAAAAAAAGGAGAAGCTGTGTATTGCTATATCCTGCCCAGCTAGATGGCATCTCAGTGTGGTACATAATGAAATATGGGAGAACTAAAAAATTCAGTTCTCTATGCATATGGTTTTCGAAAGCCAACATGTCAATGCGTAGACATTGGTGTCAAATGTCATTATCTGTTATAGGTTGTGGTGAGGTGCTCCTTGGTGAGTACAACTCAGTTAGGGTTTCACATTTGTACTACCTTGCTTTCCTAGTCTCACCATTCCGCTACGCATCACTCTTGAGATGGTATCATGGCAAAGATCTCGGGTTCGAACCCCCATGCGTGCACATGCTGGCGGTGACGTTGTAGGGCATCCCTGTGCAAGGGGATGTCTAAAAACCAACACTGGGGATGCCCGATTGATCATAGGGAAGGGTTAGAGGATCGCTGGCCTGTTGGGTTATGGCTGCACTGACCCGCTACTTAACAAGCCCTACTACACCCGGTACCCCTGTCGAGGTCTTCCGGTTCCCCCTCCCCCCCTCTTCCTCGCACCCTCTCTCCCCCCTGCTTCCGCTCCTCCGGTACCCCCACCCCCCTCTGGTCCTCCCCCGTCAGGTGTGTCTCACGCTACCCCTCTACCCTCGGTCGCGCGTTAGGTAGCGTCTCCCTCCCCGCATTCCTCACAGTCTTCTCAGCAGCCTTCGGCACTTCCGCGACAGGTTACTGTGGACTCGGTTGGTGTTGGAGCTGGAGGTGCAGCCACTGGCGGTACTCGGTCTGGGGATGCTCGTTCGAGGGGTGCTGAAGCTGGAGGTGCTGGAGCAGGTGGCACTAGCTCTGGGGGTGCTGGAGCTGGAGGTGCTGGCACATGAGGTGCTAGTTCTGGGGGTGCTGGTGCTGGAGGTATTGGTACTGGAGGTACTAGTTCTGGGGGTGCTGGAGCTGGAGGTGCTGACACTGGCGTTGCTAGTTCCGCTACTCTTCGGGTGTTACTGCACGTAGCAGCACAACGAGACTACGAGCTGCACTCCCTTGACTTCTCCACTGCGTTTCTCCGGGGTTGTCTACACGAGGAGATCTGGCTGCGCCCTCTTCCTAGCTTCACTAACACCTTCCCACATGGGACCTAGTGGAGCCTGAGGCGGCCAGTCTACGGTTTCCGCCAGTCGCCTTGTGAGTGGCACGACACTCTTCGCTCCACGCTTCGTGACCTTGTGTTTCATCCTTCCTCTGCCGACCCGTCGCTGTTTCTTTGCACTGGTTCCACTCCTTTCTTTATACTAGTGTACGTCGACGACTTGGTCTTTGCTACAGCAGACAGGGCAGCTCTGACTGAGGTGAAATCCGAACTGCAGAAGAGACACAAATGCACAGACCTCGGTGAATTGCAGCGCTACCTTAGCCTGCAGATCACCAGGGACAGGGCATCACTCTTGAGAATTGGTACAACAATGAGTGCTATCATAGCTTAATGGAGAAAACTACTGCAGCAAGTTCTGTCATGTAATGTTAATTATGGAGTCGCAAATCACAAATACTCACATGACTGCTCATAAAGTACGGCTAGGCAAAATGCGAATCGTGCCCTTGAACTGAATGGATCTTCCAATATGTTCAGTTTTCAGAAATTGCCTGATTTTAAGCCCTTTTTGTCTACTGAATTGGATTGAGCTACTCCCCTCAGCTCCGCTCTCTTCCATCCCCCTCCCTCCCTCGCTTCCCTCCCCTCTTCTTCCCAACTCTTTCATAAGGAAATACTGGGCCACCTCAAACCTGAACATGTAGCAGCAAGGTGTGCACCTTGTGCATGTCATCCACCACAATCAGCTACAATTATGACCCACGATCGGCTACGATCAAAATGCATTAGTTCAGAGTAGATTATGAATACGGCTACCCCTGAATTAGAGACGCCAGAAACACTGTCTTACTGCTTTTCACTCTGTTGCATCCTCACTTGCTCATTCAACTTTAGCTAGCCCTTGCACATTGAGTCGCAACCCATTTTCCCTCCACGCTGACTGGATATCTGTTTTCTCCTTTTCTGCAAGTCCTTGAGCTCACCCTACTCCGCTTCCTCCTCTTCCTCCCTATTTTTCCTTCCTTTCTTCTTCCTGTTATTCCTCCTCTTCCTCCCCTTCCTCCTGCTCCTCACCCTCCTCGTCTTCCTCTTCTTCCTCCTCTTCGTCCTCCTCTTCCTCCTCCTCTTCTTCCTCTTCCTCCTCTTCCTCCTCTTCCTCCTCTTCCTCCTCTTCCTCCTCTTCCTCCTCCTCCTCCTCCTCCTCCTCCTCCTCCTCCTCCTCCTCCTCCTCCTCCTCCTCCTCCTCCTCCTCCTCCTCCTCCTCCTCCTCCTCCTCCTCCTCCTCCTCCTCCTCCTCCTCCTCCTCCCCCTCCCCCACCCCCTCCATCTCCTCCCCCACCCCCTCAATCTCCAACCCATTCCCCACCCCCACTCCTCCCTCCTCTCTCTCAAAATCCTCCTCTAACTCATACTCCATCTCATCTTCTCCCTCCTCTCCCTCCTCCTCCTCCCCCTCCTCTCCCCACAGTCTATGCCCCAGGAACATAACCATCCTCTGCAAAACCTCAACCTCCATCTCCCTATGCGCTAGCCTCCTTCTCAACTCCCCCAAATCAGCACCATCACGCATCCTTCCATCAACCTGCCCTTGAGCCAACTTTCCCTGCTGCTGCCGCCGCTGCTGCTGCTGCTGCTGCTGCTGCTGTTGCAGAAGCTCCTGTTTCCTCTGCAGCCGCAAGATCAGCTCTCTAATCGCCCGCTCCATCCCCTCCTCTCCAACCTGCACCTCCACCTCCCCTTCCTTCCCTCCCCCACCCTCCCCTCTCGCCCTCTCCACTGCAGCCACCGCATCATAATAACTGCTTCTTAAAAGACTCTCAACTAAGCACTCGTCGGTCTCATCCATAGCAAGCATCTGCTTCCACTTGGCCTTCATGTCCGCTCTCGCCTTCGCCATAATCTCATCTCTCACCCGCGTCTGCTCCAACTGCCTCTCCTCCTGCCCTGCCTCCAGCTGCTTCACCTCCTCCTCCTCCTCCTCCTCCTCCTCCTCCTCCCCATCCTTCTCTTCCCTCCCTACTAACACATCCCATACATCATCAGCATCCTCACACACAAGTGTCAGTTGATCCCCCATGGCTCTGAGCATCTTCGCCCCAACCCCGTGGATCATGCGGTTACCATCGCCGCCACACGCCACCACCACCTCTGTCGCAGGCCGGTAGACAGGGATACCGCTGTTACCACCTGCGCCTCTGGGGTATTCGATATAATAGATGTGCTTCTGCAGGTGCTCTGGTACTGGAATCTTCTTTTTCCACCGCCCCCAGGGGTCCTGATAAGCAGCAAGGGGCAAGAGCAGGCACAAGAAAGAAATGCATTACTGCTGGTACTGCTGCTACTGCCTGTGCCCCTGGGGTATTCAATACAATAGATGTGCTTTTGCAGGTGCTCTGGTACTGGAATCCTCTTCTTCCACCGCCCCCAGGGGTCCTTGGAATGAGGGGAGGGAGGGAAAACAGTAAAGACGGCGAAGGTGCAAGTCAGCTTCTTGCTTACCACTTCACTTTCTCCTCCAGCAAAAAGTATCGTGACTCCCCAAACGTTTTAAGGCACCTCAAAAGTAGTCAGCTAAGCGTATTGCCTCATATTTCTTTCTCCAGCATAGGGTCAAACGGTGTGAGAGGAACCAAGATAAAGGATTACGTGTATATTTTATCCACTTGGACTTGCTTACCGCTTCAATCTCCCCTGGAAGAGAGTGGAAGAGAGCGAGAGCGGACGAAGGGAAGGGGTAGTGCACACGAGCGAAGCAACCATCACCTCTGCCGCTGGGTCGAGGTTTCTGGGAGAGAGGAGAGGGGGAGTGGAGAGGAGTGGGAGGAGAAAAAAGAGGGTGAGTTTGCACGAGGGGAAGAGAGGACCGGGATGGGGAGTGCAGGAGGGGAAGGGTTAGTGCACACGAGCGAAGCAGCCATCACCCCTGCCTTTGAGTCGAGGTTTTTTATGGAGAGAAAGGAGGGGGAGAGGAGAAGGGAATAAGGCCAAGGCAGGGTGAAAGTGGAGGATGGGAAGCGGCAGTGCACGCGAGCGAAGCAGCCATCACCCCTGTGGTTGGGTCAGGATTTCTGGGGTAGAAAAGAGAGAGGGAAGAGCAGTCGGGGAGAGGAGTGGTGGTGAAGAAAAAGCGTGAGTTTGCACAAGGGGAAGAGTCAAAAAGGGAAAGGAGCAGAGCTGAGGAAAACCCAGAAGAGGAAGGGCAAGTATACATGGGATAACCAAGACAAGGCTCATGAGGGGAGAACCCAGAAGAGGAGGAGAGGGGACATAAGAGAATGGGATCACCTCTGAGGCGCCTCTAAATCTGTTTAAAAAATGACATCTCTTTTCTGATGCGCCTCCGATTCGAGAATTCTCAAAATTGACAGTTCAGAGAATGAGAGCACTTTCTGAGGCGCCTCAAATTTGTTCAAAGGATGAGGTTACCCGTGACCAAGTGGTGGATGTTGGATGGATGACTTGACCCAACCCAACCATCATTGGGATATCTTCCAATGAGCAGCACCATCACTCTCCCACCATCCCGTCAGACCATCACATCACCACATACCAGCACCCATGCAATCATGTCATCTTTCATCGTCCTTCTGCCCCATAACCCAAGTACTCAGACCCCCATGCCCCAATGCCCTCATGCTATGTCCCTACAATATCCCATCGTCCCATCCATCATGCTATCACACCACCTACCGTCACCCATGGCATCATGTCATCCTCATCCTTCTGCTGCCCGAAAACTTATATTATTATTTCGCGTGGTCTCATGCTCTCATACCCTCATGCCTCATGCCATCGCCTCACCACCTACCGTCACCCATGGCATCATGTCATCTTCGTCCTTCTGCTGCCCCAGAATCCAAGTACTCATACCCCCATGCCCCCCTATGCCCTCATGTCCCCAACCCTCATGTCTCTGCCATGCAACTACAACATCCCATCATCAAAACCTACCGTCACCCATGGCATCATGCCATCACCCTCATCCCTCAGCTGCCCCGGAACTCAAGTACCCATGCCCTCATGCCCCGCTATGCCCTCATGCCATCATGCCATGCAACTACAATATCCCATCACATCACCACCTACCGTCACCCATGGCATCATGCCATCATCCTCATCCTTCTGCTGCCCCAAAACCCAGATTAGTATTGTTCACGCCCGCGTGCCCCCACACACCATGCCACTACATTTTATCCCATCAATCCATCATCACAACCTACCATCAGTCACCCATGGCATCATGTCATCTTCATCCTTCTGCTGCCCCGGAAGGAACCCAAGTACTCATACCCCCATGGCCCCCTATGCCCCCCATCGCATCACCACCTACCGGCACCCATCGCCACCTACCGTAACCCATGGCATCATGTCATCCTCATCCTTCTGCTGCCCCGGAACCCAGATTCTTGTCTCATCCTCCTCCTCATTCTCCTTTTCTTTCTCCCCTTCCTCGTCCCCTTTTTTCTTCCCCTCCCCCTCTCTCTCCCCCTTTTTCCCCTTCTTGACCATCTTCCCTTTCTTCCCCTTCTTTCCCTTCCCTTCCCCCTCCTCCGGCCCCTCCTGCCCCTCGCTTGTCCCCTTCTCTTCCTCCTCCCCTCTCTTCGCTTCCATCCTCCTCCTCTCGTAATGCGCCAGCAAGGCAAGGATCATCTCTGGAGTAGTGCCACGTGGCAGGCTGTCAACGGTCAGTTCCCTCATCAGATAGTTTCCAACCTAGCAGGGATCGAGAGAGTGGAGTGAGAGGATTGAGAGGGAGTGAGAATGGGTGAGTAGGGGTGAGAATGGGTGAGTAGGGGTGAAAAGGGCGAGAGAAGGGTGAGAGTGGAGTGAGAGAAGGTGAGATGGAGTGGAGTGGCAATGGTCAGCTCGTGCATCAGATAGTTGCCAACCTAGCAGGGAGAGAGGGTGAAGTGCAACGAGTGAGAGGATTGAGAGGGAGTGAGAATGGGTGAGAACGGGTGGGAAGGGGTGAGAGGCGGTGAGATGGAGTGGAGTGGCAATGGTCAGCTCCCGCATCAACTACTTGCCAACCTAGCAGCGAGAGAGGGTGGAGTAGGGAGGGGAGTGGGTGAGAGGGAGGGGAGTGAAAGGAGAGAGCCAAGAGGAGTGAGATGGAGTGAGTTGGAGGTGAGAGGGTGAGGGAAGGAAAATGGAGTGAAACGAGTGAGGCAAGAGGAGCGAGGTGAAGTGAGTGGGAGTGAGGGGGGAGTGGAGTGAAACGAGTGTGGCAAGAGGAGTGAGATGGAGCGGTTGGGAGTGAGGGGGAGTGGAGTGAAACGAGTGAGCCAGGCAAACACCTCACTTGGAAGGCTGATAGGACTCGATCGATAGCACAGCCGTGCCCGGGTGGGAAATCGGATAGCACAGCGGTTGGGCCTCTCTCAGGCTTATGTTCGATATGCATTGATAGAGTGTGAGGTGGTGGTTGGGACTTGACAATGGCGGAGAGCGGCTGGATGGGCGTGGGGAGCAGTGCAGAAGTGCCGACGGCCGTCTGGACCAGCCGAACGGGAATCAAGGAGTCTTCCACACTGTCGTGGTGTGATTGACACAGGTGGGTGGGACTTACAATGGCGGAGAGCGGCTGGATGGGCGTGGGGAGGAGAGCGTCAGAGGCAACAGCCTTCTGAACCAGTCGGACGGGAACCAGTGAGTCCTCCACACTGTCGTGGTGGGACGTGTCGCCCTGCCGCATCTTGTAGCCCATGTCACGCTGCAAGGAAAGGGAGGGGAGGGGTTGAGGAGGGGGAGAGAGAAGGTTGGTATTATGTTGATGCCGGCAGCCTTCTGAACCAGTCGGACGGGAACCAGTGAGTCTTCCACACTGTCGTGGTGCGATGTGTCGCCTTGCCGCATCTTGAAGGACCATGTCACTCTGGATGGGAGGCGGATGAAATGTGGAGTGCGGGGGATGGGCGACGGGGGAGGCGTGAGAGAAGGCTACTGGTGGTCGTGAGAGAAGGCTACTGGTGGTCGTGAGAGAAGGCTACTGGTGGTCGTGAGAGAAGGCTACTGGTGGTCGTGAGAGAAGGCTACTGGTGGTCGTGAGAGAAGGCTACTGGTGGTCGTGAGAGAAGGCTACTGGTGGTCGTGAGAGAAGGCTACTGGTGGTCGTGAGAGAAGGCTACTGGTGGTCGTGAGAGAAGGCTACTGGTGGTCGTGAGAGAAGGCTACTGGTGGTCGTGAGAGAAGGCTACTGGTGGTCGTGAGAGAAGGCTACTGGTGGTCGTGAGAGAAGGCTACTGGTGGTCGTGAGAGAAGGCTACTGGTGGTCGTGAGAGAAGGCTACTGGTGGTCGTGAGAGAAGGCTACTGGTGGTCGTGAGAGAAGGCTACTGGTGGTCGTGAGAGAAGGCTACTGGTGGTCGTGAGAGAAGGCTACTGGTGGTCGTGAGAGAAGGCTACTGGTGGTCGTGAGAGAAGGCTACTGGTGGTCGTGAGAGAAGGCTACTGGTGGTCGTGAGAGAAGGCTACTGGTGGTCGTGAGAGAAGGCTACTGGTGGTCGTGAGAGAAGGCTACTGGTGGTCGTGAGAGAAGGCTACTGGTGGTCGTGAGAGAAGGCTACTGGTGGTCGTGAGAGAAGGCTACTGGTGGTCGTGAGAGAAGGCTACTGGTGGTCGTGAGAGAAGGCTACTGGTGGTCGTGAGAGAAGGCTACTGGTGGTCGTGAGAGAAGGCTACTGGTGGTCGTGAGAGAAGGCTACTGGTGGTCGTGAGAGAAGGCTACTGGTGGTCGTGAGAGAAGGCTACTGGTAGGTCGTGAGAGAAGGCTACTGGTGGTCGTGAGAGAAGGCTACTGGTGGTCGTGAGAGAAGGCTACTGGTGGTCGTGAGAGAAGGCTACTGGTGGTCGTGAGAGAAGGCTACTGGTGGTCGTGAGAGAAGGCTACTGGTGGTCGTGAGAGAAGGCTACTGGTGGTCGTGAGAGAAGGCTACTGGTGGTCGTGAGAGAAGGCTACTGGTGGTCGTGAGAGAAGGCTACTGGTGGTCGTGAGAGAAGGCTACTGGTGGTCGTGACTAGGGCGGGAATGAGTGAGTTCTCCACACTGTCGTGGTGGGACGTGTCGCCCTGCCTCATCTTGTAACCCATATCGCGCTGCAAGGGGGGAGCAGGGAGGAGAGGGTGTGGGAATGGAACAGGAACTCAAGAGGCACTTGGACGGGGATTAGACAGCCTTCCCCACTGTCGTGGTGGGACGTGTCTCCCTGCCGCATCTTGTAGCCCATGTCACGCTGCAACAGTGGGAGGTGGGAGATGGTGAAGGGGAGACAAAATCGCTTGAAGTGCTCGGACAGGAGTCAACGAGTCCTCCCCACTGTTGTGGTGGGATGTGTCTCCCTGCCGCATCTTGTAGCCATGTCACGCTGCAATGCATGAGGGGGGGACGGGGGAGGAAGGGCAGCGCAGCACATCCCAGCACGGCAGTGTGGAGGGCTCGTTTAAGTGCCTCAACAACATACCAACCTTCTCTTAAGGGGGGACGGGGGAGGAAGGGTGGGACGAAGGGGAGAAAGAAGGTTGGTATGTTGTTGAGGCACTTAAACGAGCCCTCCACACTGCCGTGCTGGGATGTGCTGCCCTGCCTGCCACATCTTGAAACCCAGGGTTAGCTGAACAGTAGACATGTTGGAATCCATGGATGGACAGCGGAAGAGAGATGGGTTGCACTCGAGTTGGGGTTGAATGGCATGCAGTGCAGTGATTGACGCACCAGAGCAACGAGGGCCAGGGGTAGCTGAACAGTAGACATGTTGGAATCCATGGATGGACAGCGGAAGAGAGATGGGTTGCACTCGAGTTGGGGTTGAATGGCATGCAGTGCAGTGATTGACGCACCAGAGCAACGAGAGCCAGGGGTAGCTGAACAGTAGACATGTTGGAATCCATGGATGGACAGCGGAAGAGAGATGGGTTGCACTCGAGTTGGGGTTGAATAGCATGCAGTGCAGTGATTGACGCACCAGAGCAACGAGAGCCAGGGGTAGCTGAACAGTAGACATGTTGGAATCCATTGATGAGTAGCGGAAGAGAGACGGCTGGGGGAGGAAATGACTACCCAATCCCATGCAGTGGCAATGCAATGTTATGCGCGCACGACTCACCAGAGCAACGAGGGCCAGGGGTAGCTGAACGGTAGACATGTTGGAATCCATTGAAGAGTAGCGGAAGAGAGACGGCTGGGGGAGGAACTGACTACCCAATCCCATGCAGTGCCAATGCAATGTTATGCGCGCACGACTCACCAGAGCAACGAGAGCCAGGGGTAGCTGAACGGTGGACATGTTGGAGTCCATTGATGAGTAGCGGAAGAGAGACGGCTGGGGGAGGAACTGACTACCCAATCCCATGCAGTGCCAATGCAATGTTATGCGCGCACGACTCACCAGAGCAACGAGAGCCAGGGGTAGCTGAACGGTGGACATGTTGGAGTCCATTGATGAGTAGCGGAAGAGAGACGGCTGGGGGAGGAACTGACTACCCAATCCCATGCAGTGCCAATGCAATGTTATGCGCGCACGACTCACCAGAGCAACGAGAGCCAGGGGTAGCTGAACGGTGGACATGTTGGAGTCCATTGATGAGTAGCGGAAGAGAGACGGCTGGGGGAGGAACTGACTACCCAATCCCATGCAGTGCCAATGCAATGTTATGCGCGCACGACTCACCAGAGCAACGAGAGCCAGGGGTAGCTGAACGGTGGACATGTTGGAGTCCATTGATGAGTAGCGGAAGAGCAGTGATGTGTTGATGACCAACCCAAGGCCATGCTGTGCCAGTGCAATGCCATGCAGTGAGTGAGGTGCACTCACCAGAGCAACGAGAGCCAGGGGTAGCTGAACGGTAGACATATTGGAGTCCTTTGATGAGTAGCGGAAGAGCAGCGATGTGTCGATGACCAATGGATGGTCTATCTTCAGCACTGCATGGGATGGCATAGCATGGGATGGGACGGGATGGCATGGGATGAGATGGTACGGCAAGGCTTTGAGGCGCCTCAGGGTTGAGGCATAGCGGAAGAGCAGCGATGTGTCGATGGCCAATGGACGGTCTATCTTGAGCACTGCATGGGATGGGATGACATGACATGGTTGCATGGATGCACCATGTATATGTGTCAACATGTGCATGCATGCATGCATGTGGCACAAGAGACACACAAAGGCTCAGCCTCTCAGGTGAGGTCAGCCTCTCAGGTGAGGTCAGCCTCTCAGGTGAGGTCAAGACGGAAAGTGGTGAGGCATGGTAAGAAAAACAGCAGCCACAGACAGAAGGGCAAACTATCGCACGTGGCAAATAGCAGATAGTTGATACTTTTTCACAACCGAGATGTCAGAAATGGGATGGAGCCGTGTTTTGAGTCGATGACTCAAAACACGGCAAATAGAACATGATTGATACTCGTTCACAACCGAGATGACTTTTGAGTCGACTCAAAAAGCCATCACATCAATCCTCGTCCACAACCTTTGAGAATTCTCAAAAGTCGCACCAATAGAGACTGCAAACACTCAAAAGCCATCAATCCTCGTCCACAACCGAGATGTCAGAAATGGGAAGGATAGGTGAGGGCATGAAGAGTGCCGTGCAGCTTGACACATCCACATGCCATGCAGCATGTGTTCGTCCACGTCAGCAGGCTCACCATCCATGTCACCAGACACGTGGTGCCCCACCAGCACTGTGTTGGGTGTCAGCAGTGCCGCCACGTCACGCTGGCATGCCACGTCAGACAGAGTAGGAGGAAAAGAGGGGGAGTGGCGGGAGGGCAGGAAAGGCAGGAAGTGAGAACTTGGAAGCGATTAGCAATACTTTAGACATGTGCTCATCACCATGTATGTCACATGTTGCCCAACCAGCAATAGTAGAGAATCTTGTTTTGAGTCGACTCAAAACTCGACTTGTCACACACCATATATGTCACTAGTCACATGCTGCCCAACCAGCAATAGTAGAGAATCTTGAAAAAATCACCTGTCCCTCCCCCTCCACCCCCCTCCACTTCTCCTCTCCCCCTTTCCTCCTCGTCCCTCCACACATACAAACCTGTGCATCCTCTCACCCACGAGTATGCGACCTTCTCAAATCCCCCCCCTTTAACCCTGTGATCTCTCTAGTGACTTGTGAATCAGCTCACAAGTCACCTTATGTGTGCAGCAACCACACACACTCCCCCTTAGCACATGTCACACACACATCGCACTTGTGCATCCTCCCACCCACATGTATGTGACCTTCTCAGATCCCTCTTATTATTGTTATTTTTTTCTCAAAAAACACATAATTTTTTCTCAAAAAACACATCGCACCTGTGCATCCTCCCACCCACGTGTATGTGACCTTCTCAAATCCTCTCCCTTCAACCCAATGATTTCTCAAGTGACTTGTGAATCAACCCACGAGTCACTTCGTGTGCAGTGGTAACCACACAAACTCACGACTAGCACATGTCATGTCATGTCACACGCACACACCTGTGCGTCCTCCCACGTGTATTTGACCTTTTTAAAATCCTCCTCCTTCAATCAACCCTGTGATCTCTCAAGTGACTTGTGAATCGACAAGCACTTATCACACACACACACAGAACGCACCTGTGCGTCCTCCAATGTGTCCCTGACCTTCTTGAAATCCTCGTCCTTCAGCCCGGTGATCTCATCCAGTGACTCTTGAATTGGCTCACGAGTCACCTTGTGTGTGTGGCAACCATGCACACTCACGCCAAGCATGTGTTAGACACGCACAACGCACCTGTGCGTCCTCCCACGTGTATTGGACCGTCTTGAAATTCTCCTCCTTTAGGCCGGTGATCTCAGTCACATACGACTTCACTTCCCTCTGTGGCTTCACCAGCCGATCCAACAGCACCTGTAAGGGACGACGAAGGAAGAAGGAGAAAGGGAAGAGGAAGAGGAAGAAAAGAGTGTTGAACAAGAAATTGAACTGCCGTCCTGAAACCCGCCTCCTTCAACCCGGTGATCTCAGTCACATTCGTTGATGTTACTTTTGTGAATTCTCGAAAGAAACATCAGTCACATACCACTTCAGTCAATCCAAAAGAGTTGCTGCCACGTATTGAAACCATGGCACCTACTTGGTGCTCTATTGAAATCTCAAAAGTAACATCACTCACATACTACTTCACCCCCCTCTTGTGGCTTCACCAACCGATCAGCCAAAAAAAAAATTACACTCCATCACCAACAACAACCTCACTTGCCATTCGCATCTTACCATTTGCACTGCACATCACCACACAGCACCATACCACACCGCACTGCACCGCATCTCGCCCTGCCCTGCCCTTGCAATCCACCACACAGACCCGTGAGCTCCACGGGTTCTTCATCGTCCCACCAACCTCAGCTTCTCCCACCATCCCCATCTCACCCAACCACATTGCACCGCACTCCACCGCACTCCACCACGTCTCACCTTGCCCTTGTCGCCGTCCACCACAGAGACGCGTGTCAGCTTCATGGGCTCTTCATCGTCCCACGTCTCACACATCCATCCCCACCACCAACCAGCCTTGCCACTCACAGCTCACCAATGCACCGCACTTCACCGCGCTGCACCACATCTCACCTTGCCCTTGTCGTCCACCACAGAGACCCGTGTGAGCTCCATGGATTCTTCATCATCCCACGTCTCACACATCTCACAGTCCATCCCCACCAGCCTCAGCTTCTCCCTCCCCTCCTTCGCCTTCCCCTTCTCCTTCCCCTTCTCCTTCCCCTTCTCCTTCCCCTTCCTCTTCTCCTTCCCTCCCTCTGCTTCCTTCCCTCTATCTGCCTTCTCATCCTCTTCCTTCTCCACCTTGCTCTCTGCATTTTGATCAGTGCAGACCCAACCCTGGGGGGCGGAAGGGTAATCACAGAAGGAGCAGCAAAACACGGGGTGTAAAAGAGTAATTATAGACACATGAACAAGTAAATATGGGGCGAATAACAGGATGACTTTTGAGGCGCCTCAAAAGGCGACTTTTATCCCGCAATTTTACAGGCGCCCTCAATAATTATAGACATATGAACAAGTGCAATCCTTCCAGTAGTGACAAGGTTGCGCTTAAGGTTGATATAGTACAAAAAAACTATGCTTTTTATGAAGAGCTTCACGTAAAGATTTACTACTTGGTTACACTGAAAGTCTTAAGTCGATTACAAGGATGAACATACACTTTTGAAAGTAAAAACCAAGCTGAATAAACAACAACTTACCTCCATGAATGATGGGAATGTGAACGCCTTCTTGTAGCGGCAGTGGGCGCGCGTGCAGCGAAGCAGCCACTAGAGGGGATACAGGGACGGCAGGATTGCAATGGTGGGATGGGAGGATTGCAATGGTGGGATGGGAGGATTGCAATGGTGGGATGGGAGGATTGCAATGGTGGGATGGGAGGATTGCAATGGTGGGATGGGAGGATTGCAATGGTGGGATGGGATGATTGCAATGGTGGGATGGGAGGATTGCAATGGTGGGATGGGAGGATTGCAATGGTGGGATGGGAGGATTGCAATGGTGGGATGGGAGGATTGCAATGGTGGGATGGGAGGATTGCAATGGTGGGATGGGACATGAGATAGCGAAATGGGAACACAACACGGGTAGGGATGTAGTACACTCACATCCAAATCTACTTGCTCCTGAACCGCGACAATGGAGAATTCTAAAAGAATTCTACCCGCTCTTGAACCAAGACAATGGAGTGAGTTGACTTTTGAGTCGACTCAAAAGTCAACTTGATAATTCTAAAAAAATATACTCGCTCTGGAACCATGACAATGGAGTGAAATCAACTTAGCAAAATCTTACTATTGCTCGCCTTCATCACAACCTCTTTCCCTCCTTCTCACACCATGTCCTCTCTTCTCCTTACTCTGAAACTTGAAATCAAACCATCCAAACGATCGGCTCACCATGATCTTTTTGTTCCTCTCCTTCATCCCATCCTCTTCAACTCCCTCTTCAACTCCCTCTCCTCCCTCTGCGCTCTGTGACTGTGTCCTCTCCTCCCTCTGCGCTCTGTGACTGTGTCCTCTCCTCCCTCTGCGCTCTGTGACTGTGTCCTCTCCTCCCTCTGCGCTCTGTGACTGTGTCCTCTCCTCCCTCTGCGCTCTGTGACTGTGTCCTCTCCTCCCTCTGCGCTCTGTGACTGTGTCCTCTCCTCCCTCTGCGCTCTGTGACTGTGTCCTCTCCTCCCTCTGCGCTCTGTGACTGTGTCCTCTCCTCCCTCTGCGCTCTGTGACTGTGTCCTCTCCTCCCTCTGCGCTCTGTGACTGTGTCCTCTCCTCCCTCTGCGCTCTGTGACTGTGTCCTCTCCTCCCTCTGCGCTCTGTGACTGTGTCCTCTCCTCCCTCTGCGCTCTGTGACTGTGTCCTCTCCTCCCTCTGCGCTCTGTGACTGTGTCCTCTCCTCCCTCTGCGCTCTGTGACTGTGTCCTCTCCTCCCTCTGCGCTCTGTGACTGTGTCCTCTCCTCCCTCTGCGCTCTGTGACTGTGTCCTCTCCTCCCTCTGCGCTCTGTGACTGTGTCCTCTCCTCCCTCTGCGCTCTGTGACTGTGTCCTCTCCTCCCTCTGCGCTCTGTGACTGTGTCCTCTCCTCCCTCTGCGCTCTGTGACTGTGTCCTCTCCTCCCTCTGCGCTCTGTGACTGTGTCCTCTCCTTACCCTAAGCGACCACATATCGTATCATCCCACCGTGATCGTCTTGTTTCTCTCCTTCATCCCATCCTCTGAAAGCGGCCTCGTCACCTCCCGTTCCTACCTCTGTTGCTGCAACGCTCTGTTACCGTGCCTTCTCCTTTCCCTTAAACAGATATCAGCTCACCATGATCTTCTTGCTGCTCTCCTTCATCCCATACCAGAACTTGCAGCGAATCTCTTTGCCTCCCCCTTACTGTGTGTGTCCCTTCATTGAGAATCCCCAAGCACCAATCAGCTCACCATGATCTTCTTGTTGCTCTCCCTCATCCGATCCTCTGCAAACGACCTCTTTGCTTCCCTCTCCTCCCTCTGCTGCTGCAACGCTCTGTGCTGCTGTAGCAACTGTGTATGAATGGGAGGGGAAACGGGAGGCAGAGGGAAGGGGGAAAGAAAGGAATGAGTGCGAGAATAAGCATGCACTGATGTGGGACATCCTCATCAGTGGGAGAAGAAGCACCAGTGCATGTGAGGCGTTTATTGAGTCGCCTCAACATCAGTGCATGTGCCTCCCTCTCCTCCCTCTGCTGCTGCAACGCTCTGTGACTTTTGAGTCGACTCAAAAGTCAAAGCAATGTGTGGGAGAAGAAACATCAGTGCATGTGCCTCGCTCTCCTCCCTCTGCTGCTGCAACGCTCTGTTCAGTTGCTGCTGTAGCAGCTGTGCATGGCTGCCTGCCCACAGGCTGCTGACTGGCAGGCACAGACGCAGTATGGAAATGCAACCCATGCAGCCAAGCCAAGCCAAGCCAAGCCAAGCCAAGCCAAGCCAAGCCAAGCCAAGCCAAGCCAAGCCAAGCCAAGCCAACCCACGGGCTCGCTCACCTTCTTGACTCGGAAGTGCTGTGCTGTGCTGTGTGAAATGCAACCCGTGCAACCATACACACACACAGCCATGCGTCCCACACACCTTCTTCACCCGGAAGTTCCCGGCATCTTCCAGCGATGCCACAAACCCCGCCACCAGCACCCACGGCTGTCTGCTGACAGGTTGACAGGCAGGCACAGTGCACCCTGGAAACGCCACCCATGCAGCCAAACCAAGTGCCTCGCTCACCTTTTTGACTCTGAAATTTCCTGCCTCTTCCAGCGATGCCACAAACCCCGCCACCAGCACCCACGGCTGTCTATTCACAGGCTCCCAGAAGCCGCCTCCCACTCCCCCTCCCCCTCCCCATCCCCTCCCCCCCGCCCCTCCCCCAAACCCCCTTCCCCCCCCAACACCTCCCCCTCCGCCCCTTCCCCCTGCTCCTCCCCCTGAGCCCCTGCCTCCGCCCTTGCCCCAGGGGCGCTTGTGGAGGGGAAGAGTTCTCCCCCTGCCCTGCAGCCACTTCCCCCAGTCCCCCTTGCTCCCCCATGCGCGCCTCCTAACAGCATCGAGTGCTATTGCTGCCAGCACCTGTTGGGGAGAATGGGGGAGAGACATGCGAGAGGGGAAAATGAATGATCCTCCACCTTCCCCTTTTCCCCTCCCCCTGCCCTGCAGCCACTTCCCCCAGTCCCCCTTGCTCCCCCATGCGCCCCTCCTCACTGCATCCAGTGCTATTGCTGCCAACGCCTGTGGGAAAGGGAGAAGGGGAAAGGGGGGAGGATGGAGGCGGAAAGGGAGGGGGTGATATGCCCTTGCTGCCCCACGCGCCCCTCCTCACTGCATCCAGTGCTATTGCTGCCAACGCCTGTGGGAAAGAAAGGGGGGAGAGCCACGAGAGAGAGCACGGGCAATCAGCATCAAATGCTTGCGTGCGGAGGGAGGGGGAAATGGATGATTCTCCCTTCCCCTCCTCCCCCTGCCCTGCAGCCAGCCACTTCCCCCAGTCCCCCTTGCTGCCCCACGCGCCCCTCCTCGCTGCATCCAGCGGTATTGCTGCCAGCACCTGGGGGGGCGAATGGATGGGGAAGGTTGGGGGGGAATAGGGTATAGAGGCTAGTGTTAAAGAGGGAAGAAGACACGCCCTTGCTGTGCTGTCCCACGTGCCCCTCCTCACTGCATCCAGCGCTATTGCTGCTGACACCTGTGGGGGGAGAGTGGGGGAGAGTGGGGGAGAGTGGGGGAGAGTGGGGGAGAGTGGGGGAGAGTGGGGGAGAGTGGGGGAGAGTGGGGGAAAGGGAGATACAAGACGCCCCTTGCTCCGCTGCTTCCCCCTTCATTTCTACTCCTTTGCCCACAACCAAAACACTCCTTTTTTCCCGCCACCAACACCCACACCCACACCCACACCACACCACGCCATACAGCATCCACGCTTCACGCCCCTCAATATTCTTGCTAAACCCTGGACCCCGGACCTCTTCCTCCTGCCACTTGCACCCACGCCACTCCATCTTAACCCCTAAACCCTCTCTCCTGCTCACATATTTCTGTGTCCTCACGGCTCTACCTCCCGTGCAGAGTCTCCGCCACAGAGCCTTAAACCTAAAACCCGCGCAGCTCTTTCCCCCAACGTCCCCCTCCTCCCCCACTTTCTCACCAGCCTCAAGTTCCCCTTTTCTCACCGTAAAATCCTCTTCGTTGCACCCACGTGCCTAGAGCGTTTCTTAGTCACCTCAAACCACCCCACACCCCGTCCCGTCCCCCCTGCCCCCCTCTCTTCCACACTCCCTTCCCACTTCCCCCCACCTCACTCCACTCCCCCTCCCACCTTGAAATCCTCCTCCTTGTACCCTTGCGCCCTCCGCTCTTCCCTCTCCCTCTCCGCCCTCTCCTCCCCCCATCGTCCCCTCCCTCCACTACTTGCCCTGAAGCCACACAAGCTCCCCCCACGCGCACCTTGAAATTCTCCTCCTTGTACCCTTGCACCTTCAGCGCTTCCTTCTCCCTCTCCGCCCTCTCCGCCCTCTCCTCCCCCCATCTTCCTTCCCCCCTCCCAAATCCCCACACAAGCTCCCCCCCCCCCCCCCCACGCGCACCTTGAAATCGTCTTCCTTGTACCCTTGCGCCTTCAGCGCTTCCTTCTCCCTCTCCTCCTGCCGCTGCGCCTCCGTCATCCCCGCCTCTCTCGCCCGCCTTGCCTCTTCCGCTCCCCTGGCTCTCCCCGCTTCCCCCGCTTTCCCCGCGGGCTCCGCATTTGATCGTTCCGCACGCCCCTTCTTAGCATTTCCCTTCTTTTTATCCTTCGTTACCTCGTTATTCGACTCATTAATCCCTCTCTTGGCGGTCTTAGCGGATTTTCCGAGACGCTTCCTCGACGCTCGTTCCCGCTCCGCGACTAACGCGTCTACGTCCTCGTCTAGAGAAATTCCTTTAAGAATATAACCCGAATCGTCCCCTTCCCCCGAGCCCACGTCGCCATTGTCGTTCTTCCGTTCGCCTTTGGCGGAAACCGCTCCGGCGGACCTCTCTGCCGCGCCTTCTGCCGTCGCTTCCGCCATCCGCGCAACTTTCCGCCGCTTCGCGGAACCAACCGCTCCGCCAACACCTTCTCCACTTCCGCCCGCCTCCGCATTGGCCCCGTCAGCTTTCCCCAAGGAGCTTTTCCGTTTGCTCGCAGTTTTTTCCGCCTTCTGCTCCGCGCGCGCGCGCGGGGACTTCTTGGCGGAGCTGGAGCTTCCCATTATCTCCGCCTGCTCGGCGAGACAGGCCTGCAGTCTCGGCAAATTGAAAACGCGCGACAAAGTGAAGCCTTAGGGAACGGGAAACGCCGTCTCGGCGAAGCGACGCAGAATGTAGCCGCGTGGATGAACCCTTTTGAGAGGGTATCGCCTCGAGAGGGGTTTATGGCGGGCCTTTATGGCTGTAACCCAAAACCCCTGTGACCCGCATTGCAGTATCGTTTTATGATACAGTGTAGTTGTTTTGACTGGCGTTCTCTGTTTACATACATATTCAGAGTCGTCTGTCCTTTAAAAATCAACAAAGAAAATCATGACAAGGCCAAAAAATGTGCGCACGGCCTCATATATCATTGTGAAACACATAATGAAAATCAGATTCCTTTGTAAAAAAATATTTACTGCTTCAAACATCTGTGAAAATAATCATATTCCGTACATTGTAGTTCCTGTGTGATCATTAGAAACCATTTACCGTAATTTTAGTCCTCTGATAAATGAGCGATATATGTATGTGTGTTCATGACATTTATTTAGTATCATGTGCAGTAAACGGGTAGGTGTATCTATTCAAGATATTGTCTTTTGGCTTGATTTGTTGACCCTCGCACCAGATTGGGCTTTTGGGCTCTTCGTTACAAGCAAAATACGCGCATCGTCATCGCACGTCCTCACGCAAAGCCAACAAGAGACTACCTAGGCAAGGCCACCTAAAAGTGGCGGGAACGACCTTCCGTGCTTTGCGCCACCAACCAGCAAATTTCGCCCCACCATCGTACCCCCCCTCCTCCCTCCTGGCAAATCAGAAACACTCAAAAAAGACCATCCACGCCACGTCAACCCTTTCTCCTCCCGGCCGAACCGCGTCCACGCACGCCATTTTCCTGGCCCCCGCGATTCGAGATTTGTTTCCACTTTACAGGCCATCCAACGCCACTGCACATCGCACGGAACGTGAGGGCCATCCTGTGATCCCATCCCCATCCCATTCCCATCTCACCCACCCAGCCAGGCGGACCCCCCGCCCCCACCATCACCTCACCACCACTCCAGCATCACATCACGCGGGGCGGGCTTGCTTCAACCCTATGCGGATGTGTTGTGCTCCAGGGCTCAGGCTAACAGGGTAAATGCTCGTTCGTGACTAAAAATTCAAGGTATGTTTTAGCCAAACTCGGATTTTTACAGGGGACTTTTTTCGCCATCCCTGACTGAATCCGAGCTGTTCCAGGACTGACTCTGATGAATCCGAGACTCCCTCGAAGCACTCGGAACTTTTTGTAAGGCTCTAAACACCTCCAACCTTCCCCAAACTTCTCACCCTCTTCGTGGACTTCTGAATGCTTCCCTCCCGCCCCTCTTTCCCTTGATCAAATTCGGAGGCATCTGTATACTTGCTCTCTGTGAGCAGAGGTCCACACAAAAGCAGCAGTGCGCCAACACACAGAGTTTGAACATCAGCTTTTGTCAGAAGTCTCCTCTCCATAGCCTCGGAACGATCGAAATACGTAAACGAGGAATTTTTAGGCCAGCCTTGACTTTTCCGAGCGGTTTTTCGGCTGACCCTGCGTTTTCAGGGCATTTTTGTAAGGGAGCCAAAACGTCCGAGTTGGCGAAAAGCCTAACTTCAGCCCTGTTGTGCTCTGCTCTACAGTACACCCCCATCTCATCAACTCTGAGCCGTCCCCTTGTTACCAGGAGCTTGAAATGAGCTTTGAGCCGTACCCTTGTTGCCTCTCCTCTCGTCTCGCTTCTCCCGTCGATCGATTTCGGGGCAGCAGGAGATGGGACTAGGCTATTCTCTCGCACACGTCGCCCAGCTGCAGGATTAGCACCCTTTCACATCCCACTGGCTCCTGCTCAAACAAGACCGTCTTGGTCGCTTTCCCTGTGCACTGAAGATTAGGAGGGCAGGACGAAACAAAGCAAAAGCGCATGTTTGGTCATCGGGCCCCAGCGTCTAGCTACTTCGCCTAGGGACAACCAAGGTGTTCGCATTTGCACGTGCATCGGCGTCCCGATTCTGTTCACTCGTCCGACTAGTTGAATCGAGATTCCACGAATGTTGCTAATAGTTTACTGCCTTTAACATGTCTACCTCATCATCGCTGAAGTTAAGGATCCTCCTCTAGCTCTGCTTAGCTCCTACTAGTAGTTCCAGCTATGTCAAGCTGCGCGTTACGGAGCTCCGATATTCTTAGCGTCAGTTTTCACCCCCTGTTGCTTAAGAGCCTCTCTTCGCAATCTCCACCTTCGTAGTGTATATCTAGATCTAGAATAGAAAGTTCTAGTCCACCTTGTTGATAGCAATTCAGATAGCAATTCGGGGTTTAACCACGACAAGAGTAGTGGGCAGTTCTGTCTACCTTGTTGATAGCCATTTAGACAGCTTTATAACGCATACAACTTTTAGCGAGCTTAACAATATGCCGTCGCAGCGACTTGCTCCCTCCCTCCCGCCCGTCACGGAAGGAGACGAGGAGGCGCGATCCGGAGACATTTCAGACTCGTCGACTCTCAGAGAAGACACGTCGGCCCGCGGCGTGGACGCGTCGGCTAGCAAGGGGAACGAAAGCGGAACAAGAGGCGAGAGGGCGGCGGTGCAGAGCGAGGGCGGAGCCGCAGCGAACCAAATGTGCCGCGACGACTCGATGACGTCGACGCCGCGGTCCGAAAAGTCAGAGTGTCGCACGGTGTTCACGCCGAACGAGCTGCTGCAGCTGTGCGACGCGTGGGCTGCGGTGAGTGTCGTTTCTAAGTTCTTGTTTGAAGCAGTCTAGGAAAACTGATGTGAGATAACAAATATCAACTTGGGATTGTTTACTGAAATATTATTGGAGCTTCTTGTACGCGAACGAGTGTCGAATAAAGTCTCCAAAAACGTTGCCGGAAATGCATTCAGATATGCTTTCGAAATGGAAGCGCGAGCTCCAAGGCGAGCAGAATGCATTTTCAATTATGCGTTTACATTTGTCGGCTGAATTGTAAAATTCAGAGTGCCTCAATGCGGGTTTGCGGATGACTCCAGGGGTTTGCCGTGTTTGCGATGCTTGCCATGAGCTCGAGACTAAGGCTCTTGGCAAATGCTAATTACATCGCGGTTTGCGACCATCTCGCCAGATAATTCGATGGGTTTGCCGTGTACCTAAGGCCCTTCGCAAATACCAACATCATTATTATTTTCGATCACCTCGCCGTCTGATTAGATCATATGCGAAATTCTCCGTATCTTACCCTTCGTGCTCGATACTCTCTAGCATCCACAGAGGCACACACGGGGTGTGTTGTTTTTCCACCCTTTTCTCCCAATGACCCACCTCTCTGATTCTCCTCTCACCGTTTTTCACCGCTTCCCACACCATCAGCCATGGGAGGATCGTCGCCCTCATAGCCAATCAACATCGCCCGCACCTCGTGCCTCCAACTCTTCATCGCAACCGTTGGATCTTCAGCGCGCGCTCTCCTGCGATCGCGCCTCACTCTCCAGCATCGGCTTGTCGACCCCATCCCCTGCGCGCACGGCAAGCGGAAGCGGAAGGATCTCCGCATCGCCTGGGCGCGGAAGCGGAGGTATCACCCCGCAACCGAACGCTTCCCCGGGCCTTCTTCCCCCCCACTCCCCCATGGTGTTGCGCGAGTGGGAGGAATTTCTATTCGTTAAGAATGCTTCCCCCTCCCCCACCGCTACCTTCCGCCGATCCCGCCTTGGCGCGGGATCGGGGGAGGGATCGGGGGAATGCGTAAGCGGGTTACAGCTGGACTCTGGCTCCGCGAACAACGGCGGGATTGGCGGAGGCGATCCGAACATTGACCCTGCCCTGCGAAACATTCGCCTGCCGATTCACAAGGTCGTTCGCAGCAGCTGGCCGCGATATCGCCTGCGACGTCGCGACCATTTCGGCGTCGCCATGGAGGGCGTCGCAGAGGGCGACGAGGAGAACGAAGACGACGACTCGTCGCCGTCGTCGCCTGCTGTCGCAGGGGTGCCTGATCGGAGCGAGAGCGACAGTTCCGCGACAGACGCGCCAGGACTAGAACAAGCCGCGTCGGTGGCGGTTACCATCTTTTCCGAAGCTGCCATTGGCTCACAAGCGTCCCACGTGGCAAAATCCGGAACACTATCCGTTAGTCAACGACTTGCAGCAAACGGCTCCCCAGCAGCTGGCAACTCCAGGCCCGTGTCGCGTCGCCTATCCGGGCAGATGCGGCTCGGGGACGGAGCCAGCGGGAAATCCGGGCTGATCGACGGTTCTGCTGGCGATCGGCGTGGAAATGATAGTAGCGAAGGGTTTGTGAATATGGCGGAAGGGATGAGGGCGGGAGGAAACGCGGGGAAATTGTTTCAGCTGCTGGAGCAAGTGGATAAGCATGGGGATTATTTCCGTGGTGACGTGGAGGACCCTGATTTGACGAGCAGCATGGACCTGGACGAGGAGGCGACGGATGACGAACCAGGTAACCCCTGTTTCCGTTTTCGCTATTGATTCCCGAATTTTGTTTTCTTACATACTTGCAAACTTCGCAAATCTCGTTAGCGTGTCGTGTAACCCTTTCGCCAACCTCGTCAGCGTGTCACAACCCTCTGACCCCCACCCTCCCCCGCGTGTTCCCGCATCCTCCAGGGTTCCTAGCGCGGACTGACGTGGCGCGGCTCGTAACGGACGGCACGGATACGCAGTACCTGCCGCGGCTGAACAAGTACTTCCCCTTCGGCGCGTTCACCATCTTCCTAATGATGCAGGTGAGTGATCGTGACAATAACGAGAGTTACATTGCGTATTAGAAATTGGGGGACGTCCCTTTTACTTCCCCTTCCGCTTCCCCTTCGGCGCGTTCACTCACCATCTTAGTTATGATGCAGGTGAGTGTGACAATATCGAAAGCTGGATCTTATAGATGTGATCGCCCGTTTACCGCGCTTTCACGTGATCGCCCATCTCCAATTGGGTGCTAGTTTCCCCGCATCTCATGGTCCCTCACTTCCCCGTACTCCCCCCCACTCCTCTCCCCTCCCCTCAGTCGCTGGTGGCGGTGGTCGACTCGCCTACCGACAAGCGCGCCATGACTGCCACGTCACTCGCCATCTGCTTCGCCGTCGCGGCGCTCTGCCCGTTCATCAAGCGCACGGGGCACACCGCGCTCGTTCCTCGGAACAGGTATGCATGCGCCAACCACACTGCACCGCACCACCGCACCGCACCGTACCGCGCCATCTGCTTCCCCGTTCCTCTGCCCTCATGTTCTCCTGCCAGTTGGAAGTGGCCGCTGGCAGTGCGTGTGGGATCGACCAATCTCTTCATCCACGCCGACGCGCAAACCCTCGCCCACGCCGCCACTTAGTTCCCTCAATTTTCCCTCTCCTTCTCCCCTCCTCTGGCCCCCCTCCCTCCTTCTCCCCTCCTCTGGCCCCCCTCTCTCCTTCTCCCCTCCTCTGGCCCCCCTCCCTCCTTCTCCCCTCCTCTGGCCCCCCTCCCTCCTTCTCCCCTCCTCTGGCCCCCCTCCCTCCTTCTCCCCTCCTCTGGCCCCCCTCCCTCCTTCTCCCCTCTGGCCCCCCTCCCTCCTTCTCCCCTCCTCTGGCCCCCCTCCCTCCTTCTCCCCTCCTCTGGCCCCTCTCCCTCCTCCCCTCCTCTGGCCCCCCTCCCTCCTTCTCCCCTCCTCTGGCCCCCCTCCCTCCTTCTCCCCTCCTCTGGCCCCCCTCCCTCCTTCTCCCCTCCTCTGGCCCCCCTCCCTCCTTCTCCCCTCTGGCCCCCCTCCCTCCTTCTCCCCTCCTCTGGCCCCCCTCCCTCCTTCTCCCCTCCTCTGGCCCCTCTCCCTCCTCCCCTCCTCTGGCCCCCCTCCCTCCTCCCCTCCTCTGGCCCCCCTCCCTCCTTCTCCCCTCCTCTGGCTCCCCTCCCTCCTCCCCTCCTCTGGCCCCCCTCCCTCCTTCTCCCCTCCTCCCCTCCTCTGGCCCCCCTCCCCCTACCAGTTGGAAGTGGCTGCTGGCGGAGCGTGTGGGATCCACCAACCTCTTTTTTCCCGCCAATGCCCTTCCCTTCTCTTCCCTCCCTAACCGCGCCCTCTGCTCCCGTCTCCTTCATCGCCCTTTCCCTCCCCACATTCCACTTGCAAGTGGCCGCTGGCGGTGCGTGTGGGATCCACCAACCTCTTCATCTCCACGTCAACGGTCAAACTGCTGCTATTCGTTTTCGCGCTCACTGTTCCTCTCTCCCGCCGCCCTCCTCTCCCTCTTTTTTCTCCTCCCCACATTCCAGTTGGAAGTGGCCGCTAGCAGTGCGGGTCGGATCAACCAACCTCTTCATTCACGCCGACGTGCAAACCCTCGCCTCTGGTGCTATTCCTTCCCTCACTGTCTCTTTACATTCCTCTCCCTCCCTTTGCCCACCTCTCTTTCCTCTCCCCACATTCCAGTTGGAAGTGGCCGCTGGCAGTGCGGGTGGGATCAACCAACCTCTTCATTCACGCCGACGCGCAAACCCTCGCCCATGCTGTCACCAAGGCAATCGCCTTTGTCCCTTTGGGCGTCTGCAACGACACTGCTGCGAGCGTTCTCTTCCCAGGTATCTACCCCAGGTTCTCACTCCACTCACCAGTCATCTCACCACGCTCACTCAAACCCTCGCCCTTGGTGCCTTTGCGCCTCTGGGAATCTGCAACGACACTGCTGCGAGCATTCTCTTCCCAGGTAAGTCACACTGATCGTCCCTTTGGGCGTCTGAAACGACACGGCTGCCAGCATTCTCTCCCCAGGTAGCTTCCCTACCCCTCTCCTCTCTCCCCACTCACACCATCTCATGCTGCTACCTAGCCCACTCGCCCACGCCGTCACCAAGGCCTTCGTCCCTCTAGGCATATGCAACGACACGGCCACAAACATTCTCTTCGCAGGTGACTACCCCTCCACCCGTCTTCCTTTGCAATGACTCCTGTTCCTCTTTCTCTTCACTCACAGCAGGATCTCGTGATGGTCACACGCTCGCCCATGCCGTGCCTCTGGGCGTCTGCAACGACACCGCTGCCAGCATTCTCTTCCCTCCTCTCTCTGCCACCATTCTCTTCCCTCCTCTCTCTGCCACCATTCTCTTCCCTCCTCTCTCTGCCACCATTCTCTTCCTCTCTCTCTCTCCAATCACCAGTCATCTCGTGATGAAGCGAAACACACACTCTGTCTCTGTATCCTACCCTCACACTCTTCCTCTGGGCGTCTGCAACCACACCGCTGCCAGCATTCTCTTCCCTCCTCTCTCTCCAATCACCGATACAGAGACAGAGTGTGTGTTTCGCATATTCCCGTTCCCCAGGGTGTTTTTGAGAATTCTCAGGGTGTTGTTGAGAATTCTCAAGGTGTTTTTGAGAATTCTCAAGGTGTTTTTGAGAATTCTCAGGGTGTTTTTGAGAATTCTCAAGGTGTTTTTGAGAATTCTCAAGGTGTTTTTGAGAATTCTCAAATACACCCTCCTCTCTCTCCTATCACCGATACAGAGACAGAGCGTGTGTTTTGCATTATCCCTTTTCCCCTCCCATATACCCCCTTCTCCCCTTCCCCCTCTTCTCCCTTCACCAGGCCTACAGCCCTACTGGCTGCTAATGCTGCCGTCATCACTCACCTGCCCTTGTTCCGCCTTTCTCCCTGCCCCTCTCCTGACCCTACTCTCCTCACCCTCTTCTCTCTTATTCTCTCCCCCCCACCAGGCCTACAGCCCTACTGGCTGCTAATGCTGCAGCTCTCCACATTCCTCCTCGTCGCCTCTCTCACCTTCTTCGTGCATGACCACGTGCCGTCCATCCGCACTGCTGCAAGGCCCCTGGAGTCCTCACTGTAAGCACGCGCATCCTTGATATCACTCTGAGTAATATCAACCACATGTATCAAAAGCACGTTGCCTCCCTCACCTTTTTCGTGCATGACCACGTGCCTTCCATCCGCACTGTTGCGAGGCCCCTGCTGGATCCCTCACTGTAAGCTCATCTTTAGCACCTTCGTTACTGTCACTTCCAATAAGAGCACCTCGTCGCCTCTCTCACCTTCTTCGTGCATGACCACGTGCCCTCCATCCAAACCGCTGCCCAGCCTTTGGAACCCTCACTGTTAGCACGCCTCCTTTATATAATCACTCTGAATCTTATCGACCACATTTGCCACAACCTCACCTTCTTCGTGCATTACCATGTGCCTTCCAACTACACCGCTGGGAGTCCGCTAGAACTTCCAGAAGCTTCCACTGTAAGCTTTGTAACTTGGTCACATTCTTAATCACTTTCGCTTGTTTTCCTCATTCTCATTTCCTCTCCCGTCCCTCCCCTCCCCTCCCCTCCCCTCCCCTCCCCTCCCCTCCCCTCCCCTCCCCTCCCCTCCTCTCCCTCCAACTTCACAGACGAGGGCAGAGGAGCACGCACATCCACCACCACTGCCCAGCATACACGGCTGCTGCTGGTGGTGCCCCTCACCACCACCACCACTGCCCAGCATACACGGCTGCTGCTGGTGTTCCTGGTGCTGGTGCTGCTGGTGCTAGATAACCACTCTTTTCTTCTCCCTCTCCCTCTCCCTCTCCCTCTCCTCTCCCTCTCCCTCTCCCTCTCCCTCTCCCCTCCCTCCAGATTCACAGACGAGGCAGAGGAACACGCACACCACTGCCCAGCTTGCATGGCTGCTGCTGCTGGTGCTTCCCCTTGTGATGCTCCTGGGGCAAACAACTCTCTTCTCCACCTCTCTCCCTCTCCCCCTCCCTCTCTCCCTCTCCCCCTCCCTCTCTCCCTCTCTTCAGTTTCAGAGACGAGGCAGAGGAACACGCACACCACTGCCTGGCATGCATGGCTGCTGCTGGGGGTGCCCCTTGTGATGCTCCTGGGGCAAACAACTCGTCCGCAGCACCCTGCTCCTGCCACCAGCACCAACACCACCAGCGCCACTGCTATGCCTTCACCAGTCACACCCAGCATCACCAGCACCACCACACCTGCCCCCGCTACAGCCACACCCGCCGCTGCCGCTGCCACAGTCAGTGCGAAAACAACAGCGGCTATTTCCCAAGTGATGTCAGCGCCTACAGCACCAGCGGTTACAGTCACAGCAATTACAGTCACAGTGGTTACACTCACAGCTGTCAAAGTAACACTGGCTACAGTCACAGCGGGTACAGTCACAGCGGCTTGACTGCCGGCCACAGTCAAGAGGGAAGGGGGTCGGCTTTTCTCAACCTGCCCAGAGATTCGAACACACCCCGGGTCGACTCTTCCCACGCTTCCCACACGCCTCGAAGCGACTCAACCCATGCGTCTCAGTTCTCCAAATCCGGTTCCTTGCGTCCAAACCAGCCTAGCACCAGCATCAACACCAGCACCAACACCAACACCGCCGCCACTGCTACTGCTGAGACTCAACCCAGCCTTGCTTCTTCCGTGGAGCTTCAGAATTCAGTTACTCTCCACTCTTCTGCAGAGATTCACTCAACACATTCCGCCATAGAGCATCAATCTATTGCTCTCCATCCGTCTTCCAACTCAACAGTAGTGGTGCAACCACCACCTAGCTCCCACTCCAAGAGTCCCTCGTCCCCTCCCCTTCCCCTCTCTCCTACCAAAAATCCCGCATCCCCTCATACCACTCTGCATCCCTCACAAACCTCCCCCACCTCTCCCAACACCAACCTACCTGGCAGCAGCAGCCCACCCACCCACCCTCCCAGCGCCCACAGCTCTCCACCCAGCCTTCCCCCCAGCAGCAGCAGCGCCACTCCTCTTCAAAACACCTCATTTGCCGGCCACACACCCCCTCCTAGCCGCTTTGCCGCCGATAGCACCCCGCTTCTCCTCCGGGGAGTCTTCACCCCACCGCACGACACTCCTCCCCACTCCTTCACCCCTTCTTGCAGCAGCACCCCGCCGGTTGAAAACACCTCATTCGCCGGCCACACTCCCCCTCCCAGCCACTTTGGTGCTGGTAGCACCCCCCCTCCCCCGCATGGCTTGAGCACTACTGCTTGCAGCACCCCTCCCAGTCGCTTTGGTGCTTGCAGCACCCCTCCCAGTCGCTTTGGTGCTTGCAGCACCCCTCCCAGTCGCTTTGGTGCCAGCAGCACGCCACCTCTCCTGAGGGGTGTGAGCAGCCGTCCTCATGACACACCACCCCATACCTCAGCCGGTCACACGCCCCCTCCTTTGCACAGGTTGAGCGCTACTGCTTGCAGCACTCCGCTTCTCAAGGGAATAATGAGCCCCCCCTCTGCTACGGATAGTCCTCCGCTCAGTGCTGCTGCTGCACGTGCTTCCTCTGCTGCCTCTGCTTGTGCTTCTCTTGCAGTCCCAAGTGCCACTTCGGCCACTGCTGCAGCCAACGCTGCTGGTGCTGATGGTGCTGCTGATGGTGCTGCTGATGGGAATGAGGATGAGAATGGAGATGGAGGAGAGACAATGGGCGAGGGGAAGGAGGGAAATTCAGGTGGTGCTTCAGGTGTTTTGGAAGAGGAAGGCAAGTATAGAAGTGGAAGCATGTCTCCCGGAGGAGCAAGCGACTGCAGCAGCAACAGCAGCAGAAGCAGTAGGAGTAGCAGTGGTGGTGGTAACAGTGGCCCTCAGTGTGGCTTGCTGTGTTTGATTCGCAGGAACAGTAGTGGTGGCAGCAGCTGCTGCAGAGGCGGCAGCAGTAGCAGCAGCCAGCACAAGACGGGGAGGGTGGATGAAGAGTCAAGAGCAAGGAAGAGCAGAGGAGGAGAGGGAGGAAAGAAAGGAGAGGGAGACGAGGGTAAAGGGGTATTGGTTGAGGCTCAGAGTCGAGGCACAAGGGGAGAGGGAGAGGAGAGAGGTGCAAGTGAAAGGAGAGCAGCAACAGAGCCTGCAGCACAAAGGGAATCTGCCCCAGCAAGAGAAGAAGCAGGCGCAGCAGCAGTAGCAGCAGAGGCTGTCGCAGCACCAGCAGCAGAGGCTGTCGCAGCACCAGCAGCAGCAGCTGCAGAACCAGCAGGAGCAGCAGAGGCTGTCGCAGCACCAGCAGCAGCAGCTGCAGAACTAGCAGGAGGAGCAGCAGGAGCAGCGGCAGCAGGGGAGAGTGTGTTGGAAACTGATGGCATGTCATCATTGCCATTGGGTGGAAGTGAGGGCCAAGCAAGGCAAGACTCCAGAAGTGATGCTCGTGGGGTTGATTTGGGTACTGGAGAGGTTAATAACGAGGATAGAAGAGAATGGGGTGCGCGTGCTTGGAGGCTTATACCTCCCCCGATGATGGTAACGGCTGGGAGGCAAAATGTGGGGGTTGAGAGCGGGAGAAGGAAAGGAAGTGAGAGGCAATAACGGGGATAGAAAGGGGGTGTGGGTGTGGGTGTGAATGATGCTGACAGCATTTAGTGAAGACAGATAAGGGATGAGATTAGGGGTGTGTTTTGGTTCTTGTGAAGGGAGGGAAGTGAAACGTTGAGATATACTGGAGTGAGAAACTTTTGAATGCTTGTCTTGGGATGGTAGGGGGCGACAGGTGGTGACTGGTTAGTTACTGTGTAATCTTCAGGGCTTTTAACTATGTTGATAAACTGTAGGGGTTAGGTGTAGAAATTAATGACTCTGTTTTGACAAGCTGGTTTCTGGTGTCAGCCACTTAGGCTATAAGCTATCTGGATCTCATTATTTGATTCTGAACACATTGGTTATTAATTTGACTTAAACCTTAAACCTGAAACCCTAATTTGACTTGGCTAATATTTTATCATTGTGATGGGAGAATACAATAAGGCTAATAACAGGTTTTAGACTTACAAAATATATATTCCCCAAGATAGTTGTAAGAAAGATGTGTTAAAATACATTTATGTTTATATCTCTCTAGGCTATGTAGCAGGCCTCTCGTTATCAGGGTAAAATACCCTTTTTGCACTGAATGGCGGGCGCTTTTTTTCAGTTACCCTTTCACAGGCAGGGTAGTGGATTTTTTACCCTAGGCCAGAAAGTGTAAGTTTTTCAATACCCTTTGAAAAACAGCATAAGGAACACATTTCTCTGACTGTACAGTGTACAATCCAAGCTATACTGGTACTGAGTGCTCCGTAGCGAGACGAAACACTATACAGGTCCCTACAAAACGATACCATTAGCGAGATTTGAACTTGCGACTTTACAGATCTAATGTGCAATTGAACCAGATAAACTACAGCCATTGATCCTGAATGTTTCGTGACTTAAACTAATCACAAGTTTTTAAGAATACCCTGCCCAAACAGACTAACTGTTTTTTTACCCTGCATTTGTCAGGGAAACAAAAATTTTACCCTACGCATCAGGGTTGACTATACCTAGAACCCTGATTACTAAGGGTGGCCCAAAACGAATCTGAAGCCCTGCTATGTAGGGGCCATCCTTAGAGGGTACAACTCATTTAGCTCGATAGTCTTGTACCACCCATCCTCACCTAATCGACATTCCTCTCTTTAGCTCAACATGGTATCAGAGCATTAGGTCCTTGGGACCAGATTTTTTAAGGGCCCACCGTTAAGTCTTCGATCTCCTGCCCGAATCGCCCTAGGCGCGTAAATTTTTCCTTCCTAGCGCACGTGCCCCGCTGCCCAGCCCGTGCGACGCCCTGCCCTGCAGCCCGCGCACTGCGCCAGCTGCTCGCGCGCTGCCCCTGCACCTCGCGCGCTGCATTTGCTGCTCGCGTGCTGCTTTTTCTGCCCACGCGCTGCTCGCCCTGCCCGCAAACTGCTAACGCGCTGCTGCACCTGAGCTGCTGCTGCCGTACGCGCTGCTGCGCTGTGCCCTACAAACCGCGCTGCTCTGCCCCGCGCACTGCCAGCCCGCATTGCTTGCGCGCTGCCTGCTGCAACCGCCCGGTGGCCTTGTCAAAGTGCCAGTTGAGGGCCCACTGTTCTGCTTTTTGGCAGGGAGGGTATGGGTTGGAAAGGGTTTTCTAGAGAAATCAAATGGGAGGACAGGCCCCCAGAAGTCAGACTTTTTTGTCTGATTTGCTTGTTTTAGTCTGAGATTTCAGACTTTTTTTAGGGTGTACTCTGTAAAATTCAGAGTTTTTATTGTCTCAAGTCTGTGAAAATCAGATTTTTCTCTAGGCTGACTCTGACGTTTCAGAGTTTTCCGGGAGTGTACTCTGATGAATTCAGAGTACAAACGAGTTCCGACTCTGAATGAATCTACATGCGCGCCAACACCCAGGATTAGCTGTGGTTACATGCATTGTACCTGTACCGCCGCCCTGCGGCCCGATGTTTCCCTCGTACAGCTGGATGTTTCACCCGCCCTGCGGCGCGTTCTTTCCTTCGGTGTAAGATGCTGCAGCTGTTGCCATGCCACCCACGTAAACGTGATGGCAAGCAGACGCTCCTTTAGGCAGCATCGTGTACCACGATGCTGCAACATCCACACCACACACTGCAACGATGCGCCTCGTCGTTGCCGTGCATGGTAGGCAACCACCCACACAACTCAATGATGGCCCATCTTGGTAAAGGGCCTTCGTCTTTGTGCTAGGGTTTCATCCACACCCCTCAGCTACATCTCACGGGCCCAAGCCAGTGCCCAGTTTTGCCTCAGCCATCATCTCTCTAGTTAGTTCCTGCTCGGCAGGCTCTTTCACAGCCCCGCCATGGCGGTGCTGGACAATCCCGCCACAGGCGACGACGACCCTGATGAGCGGCCTGCCTTAACAGGCTTGGACTTCTTGCTTAGTACACTAGATCTTGATAAAGCTGCACGCGCCATGCCCGATACGATTCCCATACAGAAAGCACCCGCGGCTCCAGTTTTCTCACTTTCTGCCGACCATGTGGCAGAGACATCTGCGAAACCAATCGGTGATTCACAGTCGCAGATTCCGACTCAGACCACGGCGCGCACGACCCGTCTCAAGCAGGCGACCTTGACCTTCGGCAAACCTGCGTCGTCAACTGCCAACGTCACGAACGCTCCCGGAACATCTAACCGACCGCGACCTCGCCTCAATATCAATCTGGCCGAGCTCATCGAGGGAGTTTACGACGAAGCGATTGACAAGTTCAAAAATCATTGGTCTACCCGGTTTCAGTGGCTCAGAATCACTAAAACCACTACCGGCTTGCCTGCGTTCAAGTGTACCGTTTGTGCAGCCTTTGCTGGGGATGCAGGAAAGTGCGGGAGGCGCGGGAGAGGCGCCACCGACCTGCAAACACAGTCTTTCCGTAAACACGCTGGCTCGACGAAGCACAAGCTGGCGGATTGGGAGACAGAAATATGAAGAGGAGTGCGGTGGACGGCAGCCACAGATCGACCAACATCGCGCCGCGGTGGACACTGAGAAGATGCGGACCGTCGCCCTTCTGGACTCGCTGCTGTTCATCAGCAGGTCCGACGCGCCCATGGGGATGTGGGTGAAACTGGTGCGGTACTTGTCGGAGAAGGGCGTGCAAGGCTTCCCTAAAAGAGGGTACGGCACCTACTACACCACGTGAGTGCAACTGCCGTACGCCTCTTTATAAGTACCCACGTTTTAATAATGTTCTAACTAAATTGTTATTGACTATTGGTTCCATGTGCAGATACGGCTTCGGTGAGCTGACGCAAGCTACAGCTACATGGCTCCAGACAACCCAGCTGCAACATGTGCTATCGTTGCCCTTTTTTTTTTTGCAACTCTGTCAGATTCAGACTACAACTTTGGGAGAGTCTGACGAATCAGACAAGCTAAAAACGAATCTGAGGGCCTGGTGATGATGACGATGGATTTGCTGACTGGATGTAGGTAGGGTAGTTAGTTAGTTAGTTCTATTCTAACTGTGATCTTGTGAAGGCTAAGCAGCAGCATTAGTAGTAGTAGTAGTACTAGTATGAATGTAGGCAAAGCTGTATGAGAAGTGGAGTAGGCTTGCTTTATGATATGATTACTAGGGCTACAACAAGCACAATCAGACTTTTACTTGAGTGTACTCTGAAAGTTTCAGACTTTTTTTTAAACACACTCTGACGTTTCAGACTTTTTTTTAGACAACTCTGAGGATTTCAGACTAATACTGAGAGAGAGTCTGACGAATCAGACAGGCCAAAAACGAATCTGAGGGCCTGTGGGGGGATGAGAGTCAGGGTGAGCCACATCGCACGGTGATATGTAGCTGCCAAGGGGCATATGGTAGGGCATATTGTGTTTTCGAGTTGCACTGCACATACCATCTCTGTACTCTGCTAGGAGTTGATCGTCGTCGAACCAGGTCGTTGGGTGTAGCTCAGTGGGCATGCTATCCACGAGATGGCTGTAATCGACAAGGCCCATGCCGGTGTATGCTGCTGGCCTGAGGGTGGAGTCGATAGTTGACCTTGTTGAGGACAGCTGGTGGTTGAAGACTCCCATGGTTGACTTGTCATTGTGCAACCACAGCAGCTTCATTGCCTCGAGCCCTTCTGCAGACAAGTGGACAGAGAACGCTTCGAACACTTCCTCCGGTGCAGGGTAGTACTGTATTTTCTCCGGCGGGTTCAGAAACATGAGCTGAGAGCACACTAAGTAGGCTTTGTTTTGCGCAGGGGTGTAAGGTATACAACACGACATGGAAGAGAAAAACCAGCAGTTATGAGGGTGGCCGCGTGACCATGGGATGGTGACTAGCAACACTGTTTGAAATTGCCACGTCACACCCTGCGCCATCCGACACGTCCACCAACAACCCGGCCCACTTGCCACGTCACACCCCCCTACCACAAGCCACGTCACCCCCCACCCACCTGACACGCCTCGCTTCGTCATGCGCAGTGGTCACGTGTACCATTTCTAACCGCCACGTCATCCCCAACCATCACCTTCCGCCACGTCACACCCACCTGCATCCGCCACGTCATCCCCAACCCTCACGTTCCGCCACGTCACACCCTCCTTGTCCGCCACGTCCACCAACCAGCCCCACGTGCCACGTCACACCCTCCTGCATCCGCCACGTCCACCAACAACCAGCCCCACGTGCCACGTCACACCCTCCCACCCCATACCACGTCACCCCCCACCCACCTGACACGCGTCGCCTCGTCACGCGCCGCTCCCGTGTACCATTCCAAACCGCCACGTCAGCCCCAACCCTCACATTCTGCCACGTCACACCCTTTTGCATCCGCCAACAACCCGCCCTACTTGCCACGTCACACCCCCCACCAAGAGCCACGTCACCCCCCACCCACCTGAGACGCCTCGCTTCGTCATGCGCCGCTCACGTGTACCCTTTTAGGGTGCCACGTCATCCCCAACCCTCACCTTCCGCCACGTCACACCCATCTGCATCTGTCACGTCATCCCCCACCCTCACCTTCCGCCACGTCACACCCTCCTTGTCCGCC